CGTGCTCATTTCGAATTTTATCTTTACGTGTATGTCCGTACATCCATCGTAACATTCTCATCTCTGCTACTCCAACTTTATGCTCTTGCTATCCCTTTGGAGCCCAGCATTCACTACTATATAACATTGCTGGTCTGATAGCAGTGCGATAAAACTTTCCTTTAAGTTTATTAGGCACCTTACGGTCACAAATAACTCCTTTAGCTTTTCTCCCAATTAAACCACCCAGCTTGAATTCTATGTGAAATATCTCCACTGATTTCGCCATCATTTTGAATAATGGCTCCCAAATATCTAAACTTTTCCACTTGAGGTATAATTTGATCTCCCAATTTCACTTCCAAATTATTGTCGAATATTCCTTTACCAAATTTACAATATAAATATTCCATCTTACTTCTACTCAGACGAAAACCTTTCGATTCCAATGTCCTCCTCCATAACTCAAGTTTACAATTAACCTCTTCTCTTGTCATACAAATAAGAGTAGATCTAGAAGAGCACATTTTAACAATACAATCGTCCTAAATTATAAGAAAATTTAAGATAAGATTATGTAAGCAAATAAAAATCAATAATGATACTTTATAAACTTACTTTTTCAAAATAAAAAATTTAAATTTTAAAAATACCTTTCATTAATATATTATAATCATTTCAATTCTTTTTTAATACAATAGAAATCAAAACAACAAAAAGTACTCCCTCTATTCTAAATTATAGGATATTTTGGAAAAAAAAATTATTAAATAGACTTATTCTTCGATGTATTTATGTGTGGGTGGGGGGGTTAAGGTGCATTTTTGTCCATGAATTATTCTACAATGAGCACCTACTGTTTCAAGCATTTATTGTAGAAATTTTTTATTTGACTTAATTCACAGTTAGCATTTTTAACAGCCAATATTAGAGTATTTAACGCTAGAGGAAAATATGTTACATTTTACTTATTTGAGATGAAATTTCTATAAAAAAATATTTTAGAACAACATGTGCTCCTCGAATAATAATTTTAAAGCAAAAATACACTTTAATCCTATATATATAAAGTATGTGTGTGTGTATATATAATGAGAGAGAGAAAAAAATGGATCCCCTTTTTGGGAGTAGGCTTATCTCCTCTCATCCTCCCCTCCTTCTACTCGAGTAGGGAGTTGCATGTGGCATATTTGATGATAAATGAGCTTAGCCTAATGGAGACTTTCCAAAACACTTAGGTAGACATTTCGCCATTGATTTTCACGCACTTGCAAGCTATAAGAATATAGAATGAGTTTTAGAGAGAGTTGAAGATGGCTCAACTAGAGGATGAGTTCCTAATTGGAAATAGAGAAGATGTTGAGAAAGAGTGCACTATAAAGTTTGCTCTAACAGACGATGGGTACTTGGAGTATTAGGGAAGAATATGTATTTCTAATGACAGTGAAGTCAAGGATCTTATCCTAAATGAGATGTATAGGAGCAAGTATACTATACACACTAAAGCCACCAAGATATACTAAGATTTGAAGAAGTAGTGGTGGTGATCAAGAATGAAGAAAGAAGTAACTGAGTATGTAGCTTGATGCCTTGCTTGTCAGAAAGTTAAGACTGAACATTAGAAGTTGCTTGGGTTGTTGCAACCTTTATAAATCTTGAAATGAAAATAGGATAGTATTTTTGTGGACTTCAAGGTTTACTTTGAATATCGTCAAGTCAAGATGTAATATGAGTAATAGTTGATAAATTGACTAAGTCAGCACAATTTTAGCCCATACGAACTAATTACTCATTAGAGAAAGTTATATAAATATACATTTAAGAGATTGTTAGATTATGTAGGGTGTAAGAGTATAGCGTTAGATCACAATTCAAGATTCACATCGAACCTCTAGAGAGTATTGCAGAAAGCCATAGGCAACAAATTGAAGTTCAATATGGCTTATCACCCTTAAACGAATGGGTAGATGGAGAGGACCATCCAAACTTTAGAAGATATGCTTTGAGCTTGCGCCATAGAGTTAAGTGGTAACTGGGAGACCACTTGCCCCTTATGGAATTCACATACAACAAAAGCTATCATTCTCACATTCAGATGGCTCCGACAAAGCATTATATTACTAGAAGTGCCAATCACTTCTTTGCTAGACGTAGTTGAGAGAAGCATTATGTGTCCAAATGTAGTTGACCAAGCTATGAAAAAGATTGGGATGATTAGGAAGAATCTTCTAGCGGCTTACAGTAAATAGAAGAGTTATGCTTATAAGAGGAGGAGATTGTTGGATTTTATGGTTGGCGACCATATATTCTTGAGAGTTATAATGTTGACAGAAAATTGAGAAATCCATTCACGTCAATAAATTGACTCCTCAATTCATTAGTCCATTTGAGATCCTGGAGCAGATTTCATCGATTACTTACCAAATAGCATTTCCATCACATTTATTAGAAGTACACAACATCTTTTACATGCCACAACTCAAGAAGTACCAACCTGACCCGTTTTTCATCATAGAAACCTAAAGAAGTTGAGTTAAGGGAGAACTTGACTTACCAAGTAGAACCGAAGTGAATAGTGGATACAAAAGATAAACAGTTGAGAAATAAGACCATTCTTCTAGTAAAAGTAATTTGAAAAAATATGACTCCCGGTGATGCTATCTAAAAAATCAAAGAGAAGATGAAGTAGAAATACCCTCACTTGTTTCAATTTAGGTGATAATACATTTTTAGTTCAGTCCCTTAATATTATAAAGTATTATTTTAATTTTTTAACTTTAACACTGTTAGTTTAAAATAGTTATTTTTTGTGTTAATCATTGTTATTTAGAAAAATTAAATTTAATATATCAACATTTAAGAATATTTTGTCAATATTTGAATGTTCAATATAAAAATTTTTTGCTAATGAAACTAACGGTGTTAAAATTAAAGGATAAAAAGTGTATTAAATAAAATTAAGGAATCAAAATAAAATCTTTTATAAAATTAAAGGACTAAATGTGCTTTAGCCAAACATTATTTGTTTTTTATTTGTTGTAACTTTTTTATGTGCTGTATCACTTATTTTTTATTTTCTATTTGTAATATTTTATATTATGTATTTAGGTATTTGTTACAATTTTGATAAGGAATTTATTTGATTTTTCATTACTATAGTTAATTTTAACTTAATATCAATTTAAACTCTCTAAGCCTAAACTCTATTATAATGTGTAAACGAGTATCTTATTTTACTTTTTTATTTTTTCTTAAAATGGAAATACTTAATAACATGGATAATAAATACATTATACAATGATCCAAATAGATGAAGTTCAAAGATGATAAATATAAGGTATATAATTAATATTTTAATTATCAAATTACAATCATTATTATTATTTTAAAAAAATTGAAATCCTAGGCCTTGGCTTCCCCATGAGTAATTGTTTATTGCTTCTTGAATTTTAATAGTAGAGAGAATGATAACAGAAGGAAGAAAAGTATGCTCTTAGTAGTGTCTTACAAAGTAGGATGTTACATGTCCGCTTTTAAATGTTAGAAAGGTTACTTGATTCATGTAGCGTATAATGTTTTAAAATAGATCAAGCATTCTAAACAAAGTTTCCAAGTCACTTTCACAAAAGAGATGAAAAACCTAATTATCTAACTTAACCCTTCAAGAGTTTAACAACTCTTCGGTGAAGCAATAGTTAACAAAGCTACCCATGTTCTGTTGAACTTTTTTGGATATCTATAAAGTATTTAAATCATTAGAACCATTTATTTGATGTTTTAAAACCTCATGATTAAATTATTACCAATTAAAACATAGACCAAATTGCAAATTGGGTGAAACTTTGATAACCAAAAGTTACCTTTTCTCTTTTATTTGTTGGGGGAAGAAAAAAAGAAAAGAAATCAACACACACAAGTGATAAACAAAGCAGATCACAATTAGTAAAGAATGTGGCTCAATATTTAATAAAGTACAAAAAGACACTCATGAAATTAATACTAAACTTCATAAAGCACAAAAATTACTACCAAACATTTAGGCCAACACCCAAAAAGCCAAGGCACCTCTAAAATTGTTCATAATAAACTTCATAAAGTACAAAAATTAACAATAATACCATTTTTCATCCCTTAACTAACCAGAATTTCAATAGTTTTGGGATGCATGGAATTGCATTTGGCAAGGTTTTTAGATAATATAATATTATCTTTTTGGCTGAAAAAAGAAAAAATATTATTTGCCTAATGTCGTTACCTACTACCTTTGTTAAATGTGACATGGTTTATGGAGCTTGATAGTTTTATTATCAGCATGCATCCAAGTAAACCAAAATATTACTAGGAAGGGCAAAACAAAAGCTTTTCTTGATGATGTCAAAATCAAGATTTTGATTCCCCTCCCCCCCCAAAATGAACATAAACTAGAAAGTTCAGACTACTTGTTTTCTTTGAAACATTAAGAAGAATGTTTAAACTAATTAAAACACTAACTTGCCACTTTAACTCAGAAAAGTGGACTTAACCAAACCAAAAACATACCCATCTTCCCAATAGTCATCAAAATAGGGATATCTAATGTGTCATTCTCTAATCTCTAATGTGAGCAGGTTGAGATTGCATCATTCTCTAAGCTACATCCTCTTCCTACTTTTCTTTCCTTTTACACCTTCCAAGTCCTTATGACATTGTCTCACTTTTCATTCCACGAATAAGTTAACAACCACCACACTACTTCAACTCTTTACACTTGCAAATCAACCTAGACAAGAATTGAAATCGTGGAAAGTAAGTCGATAAATTGAGCTCTGAAATTCTTACTCACGAGTCATTCAATGTACCTTAGATAGTTTTATGGCATTGCACTTAGGAATAGGACTACTATCCCAACCTTGAAGCCAGCATATGACAAACATACCACAATCAAAGCTACTTAGAAGAGGAAATACATCATCATCTAACCAATTCATCAATATAAAATGCCATGACATTAACATGTAAAGGCATAATACTTAACGTGTTGCTCTGTTATGGAACCTTGGCAATTTTGAAGTCAATGGTAGGATTATGCCCAAATTCATCTGGGAATAAGTATGCAAGAACTTTGACAAAGTTTTGAGCCTATAAAAATGACACAACAATAATAATTATATCAATCTAAATTTATGATGTGTACTTCAAAAATACAATAATAGGGAAGGTTGCTATAAATGTGATACCATTTGTCTTCCTTGATCAATCTTTGCTTGGATCAACTGTTGTCTCGCTAGACCATTAGTCACAAGTAACATTGAATCAAGAAGGTACAATGTCATGTCCCTCTTGACAAAAACGTAACAACACCAATGCTCATCTTTACATACAGACGCAAAGATAATCTCACAAGCTAAGATATCATAATGGGATCGATTAGAGTTAATCAATCTCATGCGGTCTTCCAGCTTCCATTAGACCCCATTCAATAACATGCTTCCCTGTCACATGAATAATTATTGAATTATTTAGTAGTAATCCATACAATAGAAAAATACAAATAGCAATGTATGTGGTAAGTACTCACCACCAGTAAAGGATCTAAAATGAGGCGTTTTAAAGGCCCATCATGACTCCGCTCTAAATTTAAAATCTTACAAATCATAATCACCACCTACAACCAATCATGCAAAGAGATATTTAGCTAGGACATAACATTAGATAATAGATGCATCGAAATACATGATATTTGAACTTACCCAATTACTTATCCATCATCTAGGGCCAAAGCAACACATATCTCTCTTGGTTAAGAAGAGCCCATCTACTTGACAAACAACATCATCCTCTTGTCCACGTTTTGGCTTACTAGTGTACATGTTGTACAAACTCTCTTGTTCTAAAGGCTAGCATGCATATGAGAAGAAGGGTGAAAGTAAGAAACATGAGGGCTTTATAAGGGTTGCCATTATAGTCTCACCTCCATCTATGCCTTGTTCAAGAGTTGGTCTGTGGTAAGTGTCCTCCTCTTCAAGCACATCTAATCGCAAAGGCTTTACTGATGACAATTGTAACCTAAGTGTGTCACCATGAGTTTGCTCAAAGTTGACAATAATGGGATTCACTTGAGCCCCAACTTCAACTTCGATTGGATCCTTGCCTCCTACTTCCATGCCCTCCACATCACTCCCTTTAGTAATGTCATCGTTGACTCGTACATTGCTTCCTTTTTCTCCTAATAAACTCATTGAAACCTCCTTGTATTTGCATTTCATCCTTTGTAATTTAGCCTTCAGCACAAACCTCACAACATCATCTTCATTTGCTTCAACACTAAATGCACCAACACCTTGTCCTGATTTCGATTGCAAATGTAACGACCTCTTAGCTATAGCATCACCCAACGATCCCATTATGTGGTGATATATACAATTCATTTTCTACACCAAAGACATAAATAAGGTCATGCAATATAAATGACAAATCAATAAAAACACTCAACTTATAACATACTAGATCATCAAACTTAGGGTGTGGAGGATCACCATCTTCATTGTCTTTCTATTGCATAGGTTTAATGAGTACTACCTGCGGTGTAGGTTTCTTGGGTTCTTTGATCTTGAGGATCGATGTGGGTCCCATGCATTCCACCTCTATTGCAGAACCTGAAAACAGGATCCCTCGAACACTCTCTTTCTCCTTCATGGTAGCTTTCTTGATCTTCTCATCATCCCAATAGAGTAATGCATCCCTTGTCTCGATCACCTCATTACCATCCAAGGAAAAGTTTTGAAGAAACATAATCTACAATTATAGTTAGGCAAAATGTCATATATACAAGGTAATCAACATGTACAAACAATCAAATTATGCTACTTACCATCAAGAAGTAGAGGCAGCCACTAACGTATAATCTTTCCTCCCTATTAGATGCAACCTTCTTGTACTCCTTGACCTCCCTCATTAACTCCTTAATAACAAATTCACTCCAATTATAGGAATTCAGAGTTGTTTTCTCACAAGTAATGATCTTCACCAATCGTGAAGTTACTTCTCCTCTCGCAGGGGGACACAAAAGCGTACCTAATATGTACAGAACAAGCAAGGGCTCAAACATATCATCTTCGTCACCTCTAATGATCTTGTTTTTTATGTCAGAAAATCTCAGTCTAACATACTTCCCTTTCAATTCATTGTATAACTCACCTTTTAGATCAACTTCTTCAACCCCTCTCCTCCTTCTTTACGTAGGCCCATAAGCATATGCACATTGTTGGCATCTACTTGTTGCTTAGTTTGCCTTATTGATATTGTTCTTGCTTTTGGGTCAGTTGCTCTTAACAAACTTCCACATAGAGCATGATTTATCTGCGTGTACTTGAGGTCAAGAATCTTACGAAACCAGTTGCATTGGCCCTCGCCATAAGCCTTTCATTCTGTTTCACATGTTTAGCCACTTCACAGACTTGTTTAGGTGAGTAATGTGTGAACAGTCTTTCTTTAAATACTTCATTAGATGAAGAAACATATGCTTTATGATGCCTTTCATCCTCAATCATTTTGTTGAAGTGGTTCCTTACTTCTTCTAACATATTCTTCTAACCCTTTCTTGCAACATCAGCAGCATTTTGCAGTCCCTTGACCTTGCCTTTCTTTTTCAAGTCCTGTGCATAAACATGTAATCCACTAAGCCTCGAACGAGCCACGTCTCTTGTCTTAACCATGATTCTCGATTGCCAAATATATAGATTACAAGTCCTGAACAATTGTATAACATAGGATCAGAAATTACTTGACATTAAAGACACTTAAGACAAAATGTGTTCTATGCATGTTCAATTTATATGGAATCAATTACAATTAACATGTAATCGTCTCACAGTCATGCTAGCAAATCTATTTGTACATTATTTTACATGGAATCCATAATAGTTTCCATAGAAGGTAAGGGCATGGGAAGGTATGGTTCATTTTACATGAAATCAGTTACACCTTACATGTAATTTTTGCACACCCTAATTTGTTTATGGATTAATTTACAAAAAATATTTGAAGAGGATTGGGTTAGGGCAATTGTAAGTTCAAGATCAATCTCAAATATGAATGGCAATAATCTCAATTTATATGAGAACACACATTTACATTAAGTTTAGATGGAGTGAAAATGAGAAAAAGAAACTCACAAGAAGAGAAAAGCAAACCTGTGCTCGCTCGGACAAAATGACAACTTTCACACATGATGCGCACTCAGTCATTACTCAAGTCGCCGTTTGCACCACAATCGATGGACTACAACACACTTTTATGTTGTTGTCTGATTAGGGATGCGTGTGAAGAGATAGGGTTGTGTTTCACAAAATTTGTTGCTTACGACTAGCTCAAACCTCAAACCATCATTGCTTCTTTGTCAAATCAGTCCCTCACTGCAGACCATTCCAAAGCACTCTGAAGTCTTGTGGTTCTCTGAATTGTGTGAAGAAATGAAGAAGAGAGAGTGTTTTTCTTTTTCAAATTTGTGGTTAAGACAGGGGCTTTTCAGTAATCTGATCACATTGTTTTATTGATATTTTATTTAGACTAGTCCTTCAAGTGCAATTGATCCCTGGGCACAAATATTGTTCCAAGCATGTCATTTTCACCAATTCTCCCCTTTTTATATATTGTATAACTTATTTTTTTTATTTTCTATTTGTAATATTTTATATTACATATTTTGGTATTTGTTACAATTTTGGGAAGGAATTTATTTGATTTTTCATTACTTAGTAAGTTAAAATTTAACTTAATACCAATTTAAACTTTAAGCCTAAACTCTATTATAATGTGTAAAGAGTATCTTTATTTACTTTTTATTTGTCTTAAAATAGAAATGCTTAATAACATGGATAATAAATTTATTATACAATGATCCAAAAAGATGAATTTCAAATATGATAAATATAAGGAATATAATTAATTTTAATTATCAAATTACTACTACTACTACTTTATAAAAATTGAAATCCTAGGTCTTGGCTTCCCCATGAGTAATTGTTTATTGGTTCTTGAATTTTAATGGCAGATAGAATGACAACAGAAGGAAGATCAAAGTATGCTGTCTTAGTATCTTATAAGGTAGGATATTACATGTAAGCTCTTACTTGTTAGGAGGGTTACTTGATTCATGTATCGTACAAAGTTTTAAAGTAGATTTAGCATTTTAAACAAAGTTCCCAAGCCACTTTCATCAAAAAGATGAAAAACCTATTTATCTAATTTAACCCTTCAAGAGTTTAATAACTTTTCGGCGAACTAATAGTTAGCAAAGCAACCCATCTTCGATCATACTTTATTGGATATCTATAAGGTATTTAAACCATTAGAACCATCTAAGTTTGTAGATATTGTCAACATTCTCCTACATTTAGATATTTCATAGGATAAACACTTTTTTTTTTTTACACCTATAAGAAGATAAAAATGATGGTATAAGAAGAGATATAAAATTCTATCATAGCCAAGAATTATAAATAAAGAAACAAATTTCTAATTTGTATCAGTGTATATCCCTCATAATAAGCAAACTCCATGAGAACCAAACAAAAAGCAATGAACTTATTTCGCAGCACATGTCAGACGTCACATGTAGGTAATTGATAATAAACAAAGCATATCACTATTAGTAAAGATGTGGCTCAATATTTCATAAAGTACAAAAAGACACTCATGAAATTGATAATAAACTTCTTAAAGCACAAATTTGCCCATCTTTCTTGTAATATGCCTATATGTATATATTGATTAATTAATAACATGTTTTATTATAATGCTTTTCTAAATCACATGCAAAAAAATCTCATTTGGACACATATTATAGAAGAAGTATATATAAGACACATACACACTTATGATGAGAGAGGAATTATTTAAGATAAATTATTGGGAAAATGTATCTGTAGGTCTTACAATTTCACTTAATTATAAATTAGGTTTATGCAGTTTATTTTATTTTAATTGAGCCTTTAAACTTTGATTAATTAAATTTAATCCCTAAAAGTTAAAATCATTAAAATTTTCATTAAAAAACAAAATTTAAAACTTTTATATTTTTATTAAATGATTATATGACTTTAAAACTAATTGCATAAGTTTTATAACTCAAAATTTATATAATTAGGTTGTCTTCTAAATATTTTTTTATACATATATAATTTTCATAAAAAATTAATAAAAATAGAAATAGTGTATTAAATCCCAAACATTCAAGCTAACACCCAAAAAACTAAGACACCTCTAGAATTGATAATAAACTTCACAAACTACAAAAATTAGCAGTAATACCATTTTTCATCCCTCAACTAACGATTACCATTTCAATAGTTTTGGGATGCATGGAATTGCATTCTGCAAGGTTTTCAAATAATATTATCTATTTGGCCAAAAAAAAAAAGAAAATAATATTATCTGCCTAATGTGGTTACCTACATATCTTGGTTAAATGTGACATGGTTTATGGAGCTTGATAGCTTTATTGACAGGATGCGTCCAAGTAAACCAAAATCTTACTAGGAGTGGCAAAACAAAAGCTTTCTTAATGATGTCAAAATCAGGACTTTGATTTTTTCCCCCACAATGAACATAAACCAAAAAGTTCAGACTACATGTTTTCTTCAAAACATCAAGAAGAAGAATGTTCAAACTAATTAAAACCCTAACTTGCCACTTTAACTCAGAAAAATAGACTTGACCAAACCTACCACATGTTCATCTTCCTAATAGTCATCACCGGATCATAAACACACATACAGATACGACACTCAACACAACAGCAACACGAATTAAAGCGTCACTAAATGCAATTTTAAGTGAACATGAAAATTCGTCACAGAAAGATAACACAACTCACCGGCCGGCCGGCGTAAAAGTAAAAAAGGACTTTTTCCAGAAGGCAGAGAGAGAGAGAGAGAGAAGAGAAAGGAAGTGACTATATATAGAGACGAAGAAGAAGCAGAAGGATGCTGCGAGGTTTTGGAGCTCTGGAATTTTTTTTTTTTTTTGCTTCTTTATTTTTTCTTTCTCTGTGCAAAAGCAGGTCGAGAGTGCGTCAGACTGGGCTATTTCCATGAAAATACCAACAGATCAGAAGGAGACGTGAAAGTAATTAGACAGGAGAGGATCAAAGTTTTACTTTGAGATACCAAATAATGCAAAAGGTTAAAAAACTAGACAGCTTTTTAGATTGGGTAGATCAGGAGTTGTAGACTTAGAAAATAAACATGGCTGATTTAGGCGGGAAAAACAAACATGGCTGATAAAATATACTGCATTAATTCCCTTATATATCAATGCAAAAAAATAAAAAGAATAAAATTATATAAAATTTTAATATGTTTTTATATAATAAATTCAAAATGTGATATTACGTTATTTTTTTCTCTTATGAAGGATAATTTTAAAAATTTTTTTAAAATATCACCTAAAAAGTTGCATCATAACTTATAAATAAGGCAAATGAATCTTTTATAATGTATCTTATAAAAAGGGCTAGAAGGAGTAAATGGTAGAATTGCAGTGATTGCCCATAACCAACATGTTTGTGTTAAAGATGCAATAGAATTTGAAATAAATCTACAAGCCCAAAGACATCTCTTGCAGTTAAATTTTAGAAAAAATATCAATCAAAAATTGTTAGAAAAAATTTATATCAATTAAGGATTACTTGTTATCAAAATTTGAATGGATATTTATAGATTTGGATTAATTTTTTATCAACAAGTCTATTCAGATTTTAACATCAACTTATTATAAATTAACAACAATCCATTTGAACTTTTTTCATTTAAATTTTTACAACAACTAATTCTTAACTAATATAAATTTCTTCGAATGGTCCTTCATCACTATTTTTCCTAAATTTTATGGTGAAAAGAATAGAACATGGTTCCTTTATGAAATAAATGAACATTTTTTTGAAAATAAATGGATTTTAATTATTATTTATGAATGCTCTTGTAAATTATATCTTAATAACTAGTAAATTCTCTCTCTATCAACAAGTGTAAATTATAACATTTTAATTTAAATTTTAATAATTAATTTAAATTAATAAAAAATTTAAAAAATATTTAAAGGTAAGTAAATTAGTTAGAGAAAATTATTATATTTAATTTGAGCTATAGTGGAAGAAATGAAAATATATCTGCTGTGCGTGTAAGTGTATTGATATAAAGGGAAAAAAAAAAGAAAAAAAAAAAAGGAGAGGCAGCGGGAGCCACGGAAGGAGGGGTAGATATTATTATATGCAGGCATATATAATAATGAAAGTGAAAAAGGCTATGGGACTCACACGTTTATTTTTTTTTTTTTAAATATCACCAACCCCTCTTGCCTTTCCTCGTTTCCTTCGTCCGTCAACGCGAGGTGCCGGTGAGAAAGGATCTGAGTTTGTAAGGTAAGGATTTTTAATAAAATATTTAAAATATAATTTTAAGTTTTTTAAGAGTATATAAATATTTTAAAAAATTTCTTATTTCATTTAGATTCTTTAGTTTCTAATTTTGTGGTGATAAAAAATTTAGAGTTTAGAAAAGAGATGAATTTATGTTAAATAAATATGATAGTTGAAGTTGTTAGTAGTCTAATAAATATTTTAGGGTATAAATTTATTGATGAGATTTAAATTTGAGGCTTACGAGTTAAATCTTAGACTCCTATGGGTAGATTTTTGTTAAATCTAAAAATATATATTGATTAATTAAATGATTATTTGGGATGAAAAATGAATTATTATGGCTATAGAATGATGATTTTAGGCTTAAGACTAAATTTGTAATTTTTGGGTATTTTTATATGCGAATTTATGAAATAAAAATGATAATTTTGATAATAAAAATTTGTTTAGAGGTTGATTTTAGCTTATTAATGTTTATTGATGATTAAAAGAGGAGTTAGAAATTTTACTTGATGATACTAACTCTAGATTTGTATTAAGAATGAGATTAAAAATTATGTTATATTCTCTAATTCTATTATTAAAGTTACTTTATTAGTTTCAATAATTGAAACTAATATTTATAAATAATATATTATTTGTAGATTGTGTTGTTAGTGAAGATTGTAAAGGAAGAGAAATTATAAGAAATAATTTATTGAAAAGTCATGAGGTAAGTATGCTTTTAATTTATAATTAGTATTGCTTCATGTTAATTGTGTGATTATTGAGAAAATTATGATTGTTGTTGATAAATTATTTTGTTATGTTTATGAAAAAATGGTGAAATTGTGAATATGTATTTTGAAGTATTTTTTGCCACGTGCGATGTCATGTTGTAATATTATTGAAAATGAGAAAAATTGTGGAGATTGTAATA